TTCTATGGTTCCCCCACCCACCCACACCACAAGCAGCTCACCCTTTGCTCTCTGTAGCTTTGTAAATGGCCTCACCGTGAGCAGAAGTCACCGATGGAAATGCCTTAACGCGTCCAGTCTAGAGACAGGAAAACAAGTCAATAAGAACAAGTTGTGTAGTCCTCACTGTCGCAATTGGCAACCACAACTCAAAGCTGTTTCTCCCTAGTCATAGTGATAACTCCTGTGAGTTACCAAAACCCTTCTACTTTCATTTTTCTTCTTAAAAGTTCCTGCCTTATGTCAGGAATCTTTCCCTGGTTTTGTTTCATGCTATTCCTAACACTGCGTTTAGAAACAAAACAAAACAGCCCTGGCTTTAAAGACGAATCTTAATTCTTTCTCCCTAGAATTATTAGAAAGGCAATAAAACTATATGACAATTTTGCAGGCTTCAGTGAACTATTTTTAATTGTATTATTGTTTCATGCAAGCATCTAAATTCTAAATCAGTGATTTCATAAAAGAAACTCGCATATCCTTGGAATGAGGGTGGTATCCCAGAGAATCACCAAAATGAGGACAGTGCCTCAGGATAGTCACATAAGCAGGTGGCTTCAGCACCTGTGCGCGCTAACCCCTGCGTCCCTTGGGTCACCAAGAAAGGACTGCTCTGAAGGCCAACAGCAGCAATCCCGAGGGGGAACACCTAAGAACCAGCTTCAACCCGGGAAACCAGTTCTTGAGTACACTCTGTGCTGATCTTCACTGTGGAAAGGTCTCTCCTGATTTGGTATAATTTGATCTGGATAACTGTAGAGATATTTTTAGCATTTATAATAGCTTCCATGTTTTTAAAATTTGATTTTTAAGGAAAGAAAACGAGCCCTCAGTTAGGGCGCGGTGCCACTGGTTATTGTGACGCTGAAAACCAGTGCACCCTCTCCCTCTCTCTTCTCTAAACACATTGTGCTCTTTCTTCTGACCAGCACAGCCCCTTCTGCCTCCTCCCCGCCCTGCTCCTGCCTTACGTCCACCTCTGGAGAAGCACAGTCATAGCGGTCTGTCAATCTGGTGGGATCTTAGACTGTGCTCTGAGGAGAAAGGGTGAAAAGGAGCCTCCAGTGCTAACTAGACAGATTGTGACAGAGATTAGGCTAATGGAGGCTGTGATGCAGATTGCTTTCATCCTCCCTGAGAGTGAGTTTCCTTTCTGCCAAGGTTCAGCAGGACTGTAGCTCTGCTGTCCTTCCCCGCCATCTCTTCCTCCCCCTTGAAAACTGGCCACTAAAACTTCTTCGCGTTTTGATACCTTAAGTACTGAAGTCTTGCGATTTGGGTTTTCTTTCTGGAGAGCACACTGAAGATAACTTCCAGATATTTTGCACTAGCAAATGTAGATTTTCTAGTGACAGGATGCCTATTTAAAATAGATTGATGGTGGGGGCTCAACACAGTTTTCTTTTTACAGTTTTCATTTATTTTGTACACTTTTGGAAAATATATGTTGCATGGCAAGATAAACTTGCATAGTGTTTACTTAACCTGGGAATCAGTAAGCTGACATGCTATGGCTGCGCTGCTTTTCCAAAGCAGAGTCCTTATGAATGATACTACCTGGGTACTTTCAGTAAAACACAGACTTTTATTCATGACTTACTTTTTAAAAGTTAGAATTAATAGTTATACTTGTAATGGCATCAGTTTCTCCCTTCTGGAAGGAAGGGGAAAAGGGATGTGTTGAAGTTTAACCTCACCTGCTGCTTCTGCCTGAGCCTGAGAAGGGGAGCTGGAGGAAGCTCCTTTTCATACACTGTTAATACTGGGGAAATTTTGTTGTGCTTTACTTTCCCGCACTTTGATTTGCCTGTCAGAACCTGGGCCTGTGGTGGAGGCGGTCGCATGTGTTGCATCTTCTGCCCGCAAACAAAGCGTAAGCAGGCAGGGAGGCATCAGCACTTTGGGAGACCCTGCCGAAGCTGAAGGAGGCGAAGGCAGCAGATTGCTGCCTGCAGCAGTGACTGGCAACACTTCACACGCGGCGGCTTTCTCAGGCAAGGGCCCCTGCAAGGCAGCGCCGAGCTGAGAAGACAGGCAGGTGGATTCTCAGAGCCAGAGCTGTGCTGGACTCCAGTCTTTGTGTCTGTTGTTCTCCCTGGCCTTCCTCTCAGGCCTTTGGGGCAGAGCACCCTCTCCGCACTGAGTGATATGCTGCCAGCCAGGGATGCAGTTCTGACTTGCGTGGCAGACCGCCGTTCTCAAGCAGGGTGCCGGAGTGGAAAGTAAGGAGTGACCTCCAGGTGTGGCGTGGACAGGGGCGTGACAGCCCTGGCCTGACACATCCCACACAAGTGGGTTACCCTTAAAAACAGCAGTAGGAACAAGCAAACTGCAAGCCAAAGTGCTACTGAAAACTCTTACATAATTCTAGCAGGTTTGGGTTTCCTCCGGTTCAAATTTTCTTGCCTCTTTGATAATCAGACGATCTGAAGAAAGGCATAGGATTTCAGGAGAGAATCTGCATGACAACTTCACAATGCGGCCATTCACCACGGCTCTTTTATTAGCTCACACGCGATCTGCACTGTTCTCAGACTCTGGCAGGGCTACAAGGCTCCATTTAAACTTAACCCAACTTGCAGACTTAACTGATCCAGGAATGACTCAATACGTCCAGCCAGCTACTGTAGCTCTTTTTCCCTGCTTGATAAGGGAATTTAACACAATGGGCTTTACAGTTCTTAAATGACTCCACTTCTTTCTTGTCTTTGAGATGTGGTGCTTATGTGACCTTTTGTTCTTAATACAATTTCATGTGGCTTGATTATGTTTTTTGACAGTCTACACAAACATGATATTGACTAGCTCCCCTTTGAATAAATCTTTAAAAAAATCTTACAGATGCTATAGAAGTAAATTCATACATCCTACATCCACATGGCTGGTTTCAATGTTAGACACTGCAGTATTATGAGCTATTAGATAGAGTTAAATCAAACTTGGAAAGATTTTCTTTACTTTTGAGGATTGATTCTTATACAATTTGTAGTAGTACTTCAGCACTGAATTTTTATTGTTGCAAATTTCTGGTTCTTTTCACTGCCTTGTATGGTATTTAAATTTAACATTTCAGGGAAATTGGCCAGGTGGTGAGAGGCCACGAAGTGACCATGAAGCCAGTAGGCCTCTGTTCACCTCAGGGCATTCTGGTGGCGGAGGGCACCTTGACAGGACAGTGGAGAGAAGACCCCGTTGGGTACATTTGGTGGCGCCAAATGTAGAGAGCACCCATGTTTTTCCAAGGGTAATGAGAACTCACACCGGATCCACAGCTCAGATTCTGTTTCCCAAGCTTTGGGAACTACCAGGATGCCTGTTAAAAATGCCAGTGCTGGTTTCCACTGTCACCCCACCGCTGACCCAGTAGGTTTGGGATAGGGGTCTGAGACACCGCATTTTTAGCCAAGCACCCAGCTGACTGATCAGTGGATATTGGATCAGAGCGAGACTCATGACACTGAAGTTGGCAGTGAATGGCGGGAGTCCAGGCGGCCTCCCCTCCAGCTCCTGTTGCCCCCAGGTGAGCTGGGGGCCCACTCTGGTGTGACCCCAGAGGAACAGGTGGCAGGAGCAGCAGGACGACCCTAGTGCTTCCAGGGTCTCAGAGCCACATCAGTGTCCACCCACCTGCTTGCGTCCACATCTGGACAGGGTCCACCTGCCCGGGCGTTCTCAGGACCGCGCCTCCCCGTGGGCCCGCACTTGCTGTGTGAGGCTGTCGTCTCCCTCCCTCCCAGCTCTGTAATTAGAATTTCAGAGCAGTCGTTATCTGCAGTAATTAATCCAAATTTATTTCTCTATCCCCACCCCACCCCTATTAAAGTAATTTTCAATGATTAGAAACAAAGGTCTTTTTCAAAAGGAGCCCCAGTTAGAGATGGATTCTCAGGGAAGCTTTTGGAGATTTTGTATCTTTATTTCACAGAGATGAGCTTTCTTTCTAAAAGACCAGGGGACCTGATGGTCAGAACAGACAGGAGAAGGCAGGAGAAGTGTGGCTGCACAGTTGAGGTTTGTAGCAGTCTGCTGCTGCTGCTGTGTGTGTTCTGGGTGGGATCCGCCAGCATATAGCTGGCACTGTTTTATGGCGAGAATTTTCAGTAGGCAGACTTCATGTCTTTATTTACTTAGGTATTTACTGATTTGTGATGCCAGAGGCAGAGCCCGGGACCTTGTACATGCTAGGCAGATGCTCTACCGCTGAGTCACCCCAGCCTCCCAGCAAGCTTTTGATGATGAGAATTTTCAGTCTTATACAAAAGTAGAAAGCTCTGATACTGATCACTCCCTTTCCACGGGGCTCAAGATTTCCCATGTGTTTAGTGACCTTTTCCGTTCTTTAATTTCACTGTTCCTAGGGGAGAAAAAGTAATCTTTTCTTATGCACACTTTGGAATTCAGGGCTGAGGCCCCTATAACAAAATTGAGATGACTAAGAGAAAAGTGTGCAGTTTGTTTAGAACTTTTACACAACATGGAGCTTTCAGAAATGAAAGCCCAGAGAAATAGGGAAGTCTGTCCTTTACGCTCAGGTGCCATGAAGAGTGGACAGCTACCCAGGGTTGCACAAGGACATCTGACCTAGTGGTCATGAGCCGGGGGCTTAGCAAGGGGTGTGTCTGGATTCTTCCCTGTGACCCCACGTCTTCAGAGACAAGGATGCTCTTTTCTTCTGTGTGCAGGGAGGATGCCTCTCACCATAAGGTCCCATGACCTCCTTTGGGAGCAAGCGGAGAACTTTTGTGACAGCTGGCTTCAGAGAAGGGTGTAAAAAGGTCAAGGAGACCTTCCTGCTTCAGCTGTTTTCTCAAGTGCCAAAGTGCCTTATGTTGGGGTAGTGTGTCCTGAACCGTGCTTTTCAAGCCAGATCCTTTTAGAAACCTGGCAATCATGCATCGCCCTGCTTGGGGTCTTGTTGTGTTCAGAGATCGTGGGTTATCCTTTAAATATATTTTTTTCAGGAATGTGTTCCAGAAAACCTAGAACTGAAGAAAAAGATCTTTGCTCAGCTCGATCGCATTGTGGATGACAGAGTCATCTTAAGCAGTTCGAGCTCGTGCCTCTTGCCTTCCAAACTCTTTGCCGGTTTGACACACGTGAAACAGTGCATCGTGGCTCATCCAGTGAGTATTTCAAACCCGAGGGGATGGCGTGGTGGAGAGTGCTTGTAATTGCAGCTATTTCGGAGGCTGAGGTGCGAGGATCATCTGAGCCCAGGAATCTGAGGCCAGTGTGGGCAACATAGCAGAAACTGTTTCAAAGACCATTTTTATAAACTTGAGGCATTTGTTGTATCTCTCTGGTTTGCGGGGAGGTGATAACAAATCCCTTTGTATTCTGAATTGCTTTATCAAGATAATATCAGCATTTTTAGAAGGACTATAATCTAAAATTCTTTGGTTTTTTTCTGTATACCTAACACATCCTCAAGTAACTCATCATGCCTCAGGCTGACTCTAAACAAGTAATTCCCCCATCAAGGTAAGAGTGCCACTTTAAAAGCGTACGTGCACACCAAGAAGGCTTTTGTAGGTATGTCACTTGTCCTGTGCTACTGTGCTACTGAACCCAGTTCAGGGTAGGATCAGTTTTGTTAACCATCAGACTCTGGGTCCCACCCCTGAGATTCTGACTCAGGAGATCTGGCTTTCAGCCGCTGTTGGCTTTTCTTGTCCCCTGGAATTAACGGGGGAGACTCCCTCCCCAGGAGAGGGTCACAGGGCAAAGGTGGGGGAGAAGCCGCATGGAGGAGGGGGCTAGCCTGGCTGGGCTCTGGGTGTTTACAGCAAGCAAAACCCAAGCCAAACATGTGCACAGGGCCGCAGTATGGTGAGGAGTCCTCGTCCCTGGGGAGAGGGGCCCGTGGAAGCAGCAGAGGAAGTCTGGAGGGCTCGGGAATTCGGTCGAGCATCCCTTCTCGGAACCGCTCAGGACCAGGGCTGTTTCAGAGGTGGATGGATTTCAGAATATTTGTATGCACTTCACCAGTTGACTATCTCTAATTCAAAAAATTCAAAATTCAAACTGATGTAAAACCCAAAAGGTTTTTTTTTAACATTATGTCAGTGCCTAAAAGCTTATGGTTTCTGTAGCATTTTGGCTTTTCAGCCTAGAGCTGCTTAATTCATAGCTGAATTACGGAGAATTCTGAGTGACTGAGGGACTGGGGCCAGCTTAGGTGTGGAGCAGTGTCACTGTGGTGGAGATACTGCCTTGGGAGGCAGCCGGAGGGGAACGCTGACGGCCCCAGATGTGCAGCAGTGTCTAAGCACGGGGGACAGTTTCTGATCAACGTTTTTGCTTCTAAGTGAGTTTTAAAAAACTATTCAGAAATCACCACATTGTCTAGCGACTACCTCTCGGGCTCTTTGACAAGACTACCCCCACATCTCCTCCTCTTTAAAGTACCTCACCGCAGGGCAACTCCAGAGCCACTCTCCACTCTGTCCTGCCCAGCGGGGCAGTCCGTTACTCAAAGGATGGCCTTTCTCTCTCTCACTGCTCTCGGCCCATCCCAGTGCTGTTTAGTAAGCCTAAACCTTATTTTAAAAATTAATTTCTTCTCGTTTTTATAGAGTATTTAAAACCAAAAGCAGTGTTAACTACAGCAAACCTGATAGCCTGTTATTTGTCTCTCCTTTCTCCTGTACTCCTGAATTTTTTTTTCCTGTGTTTGAACGGATCATTCCACCAACCTCTGGGGCCTCGGGAAAGCCACCTTGAATAAGGCAGACAGGCAGCCCTAATCATCAAGAACATTGCCAACCTTGGAGGCTCCCGGAAATTCCCTCAGCCTCTCGGGCCAGCAGGAGAGCTGAGCACTCAGCTCTCAGCTCCAGCTCCTCAGCCCTCTGCGATCTTTGCCTGCTCGGGAAGTAAGATAAAGGAAGAGGAAGTTTGCTCATGCCCCCCAAGGGCCCTGGCAGAGCAGATATTAAGTAATTGCAAAAGATTGCCATCTCCACCCCTGCCCAGGGAAGCCTCTGGCCAGCATGTTGTGACATCCACGTGTTTTCTCAGGCACCTTTCGCAGGGGCAGGAGCAGGATTTCTGACGTCTCCGCCCCTGGAGGTGAGCAGAAGCAGCACCTGGTGGGTGTGTGCTGTGTGCTCTAGAGTAGCTCACATGGGGCCTTAGCGTGGCTTCCTAGGCTGAAGCCAGCAGGAGCGGCTGTGGGCACTGCCAGAGGAGGGGCCGGGAAGAGGGTATTCGGGGCCCATTTTCTCTGTTCCGGACATTCTCCCTCATACGTGTCTTTTGTGGTAACTTCCTTGTCTTCCTTGTGTCTGGAATTCCCACGCGGAGGAGCTTACAGCTGACAGTGTGGCCATGAGGGTGCTGGTCACAGTCGTCTGGAAGTTGCCTTTAGTTGCAGTCCGTGTTTAGAACCGATAGCAGCCATTGGTCAGAGCAGTGGAGGGTTCCTTGATAACCACACATTCCCAAGCCTTCCCTTCTCTTCCCCGCTGGTCTCCGTTTGCGGAACACGGTGGTCCAGGGGCGCTGACAGCGTCTCCTTTATTGTGAGGCCAAGTCCGCCTGCGAGGACGCGGCCCGGCAGAGGCGCACGTCCCTGGGGGCTGCTGTGCACCGGCACGGCCGGGAACCAGACCAGATCTGCTTCCCCCGTACGGCACCTGGGGGGTCCCTGCCTCCGGCCCCTCCCTTGGGCCTTGTCTGTCTTGTCCTCCTGCCTGACGTGGAGGACATGCAGCCTGCTGTTGGTGGTGACTTACATATTTGGCTGGTGGGCTTCCTGTTCCTGGGGTGATTGTGTGTCTGTCCCTTGTGCATCTGCGTGCTGCTGCCTGGCCTAAGCCTGTGTGCTGCTGTTAGGAGGACTCCTTTCAGCGGTCTCTGTGGGACAGGAGCACTGGCTACAGAAAGTCTCAAAACAGGGCGCTGAGTACTCGCCGCCCAGCGTCTGTAGCCTGCGCGTTGCCCCGGGAAGTGGAAGAGGCCCTGCCCCACCCCCACGCGCGTGGATGAATGGTCAATGGCCCAGCCGTCTCCTGGGAGGGCCAGCCGCTTCCCTGTGGGGCTGGCTGGTTCCATCCACAGAGAGGGGGTGAAGGAAGCCTCTGTTGGCGTGCTGTGTTATCTGCAATCACATGCGTGGGCTCTGTTTCAGATCCCCGACAGGACAAAGAATGCTGCCCTTGTGCCGGCCCCGCCTGGGTGCCCACACAGCCTGGCGGCTGCAGCCCTCTCTACCTCCAGCCGCATGCGGCTACTCAGGCTGAGCCGCAGGCCAGCTCCCGGGACGGTTCAGAAAGTGCCTCCTTTCCTGGGTGTGCGTCTTTCCCCATTTTTGGAGGGCGTGTCTCTTCGCAGAGGGCCAGTAGAAAGGAGGGAGGGTGCCCCAGGCAGCCTGTCTGTCCTTTAGCCTGTCAAGCAGGGAGCGGCCCTTCAACTTTGTCCTCTCTCTGTTGTGTGACACTGAAGGCCACCATCACCATTGTCACACTGCTTCTCTGAGGACTGCCTCATCAGGCAGAGGCCATCATGCTTTGGTCAGAGTGACACCGCCCAGCTGGAGACTCCTCGGAGCCCCTTCTCAGCAGCCCCCAGGTCGTGTGCAGGGGCAGAAGAGTGGGGGTCGAGGCCCATTTCATGGGTGCAAAGGACCAAACCCCTAAGGGCCCCAAGTGTCCTAGTTTGCTGTGTCCCTTATAGTGGGAGGTGGGCGATTACTGCAGGATTTTGAGTTGGAAGGAATGTGATCAGAGACCTGGTTTTAATTCCTTTTCATTTTTAATTGTGGTAAAATATGCATGCCATAAAGCTTACGACTTTAAGTGTGTGGTTTGGTGGCACTAAATGCTGTCACACTGCTGTGCAGCCACCTCCACGTCCATCTCCAGAACACGTCATCTTCCTGAACTGAAGCTTCACTCCTGTTAAACATCAGGCTCCCTCACCCCAGCCATTGCTGCCCTTCCTGCCCCCGTGGGGACCGGGTTGCCGTGGTCCGCTGGGCTCAGTGGTGAGCTGGACGGGCTCTGCTAAGCAGTGTTTTCTTTGGATGTTTAATAATTCTCAGTAGGGAATCGCCGAAGAGTTTCTCAACGTGAACCAAGAAAACCAGAGCTGAAGGTTAAGTCCTGGGCTGGGCCAACATGTCCCTTGGGCTCCCCCTCAACAGACAGTCACCCCCTCATGGCTCAGGCCGTGCCAGTAGGAGGCTGCTAGGCCTGCTGACTGCCAGAGAAAAAGGAGACGTGAGGCTGGGAGGCAGACGTCCGAGGTGCAGCATGGAGGCAGGAAGGAGGTACCAAGTTTTGAGAGAAGCTGTTCGTCTTCACACTGGCGCGGGAGCACGTCAGGTGCTCGAGAGAGGGAGCGTGGGAGGAGCTGTGGAGATGAGACGACTCCTTGCAGAGACCTCTCCTGGGGCAGCCGGGGCCTGGGGCTTAGCCCAGGCATAGAAGATGGGAGCAGAACCGTGTTACGATTTTCTCTTAATAAACCACAGTGCCGCCCTCCAGTTCCCTTCTCTGTGTCCCTTGCGGAGGCATTTCTCTCTCCAGGGTCTTGTCGTTGGATGCTGTATTTAAGGGTTTTTAAAGGTGCACCTGCCTCACTGACCGCTTGGGACAGAGCAGCACCCCGCACTGAGAGCCGCCTCCCTGACCTCTCTTCTCTGCCGCCCTCCGTCAGGTGAACCCGCCGTATTACGTCCCACTGGTGGAGCTGATCCCTCACCCTGAGACGGCCCCGGCCACCATAGACAGAACCCATGCCCTGATGAAGACGATTGGGCAGTCCCCCGTGCGGCTCCTGAGGGAGATCGACGGCTTCGTCCTGAACCGCCTGCAGTACGCTGTCATCAGCGAGGCCTGGAGGCTGGTGGAGGTTGGTGCCCACCCCACACACACTCAGCAGAACAGCAGGAGTCACGTGGGCACTGTGGGCACCTGGCACGTTGCTCCCTGCTCTGTTTCAGAGAGAGCAAGCTTGGAGACAGAATGTAGCCTCGAAGTTCACTGTCTCTCTGAGAGACTGCTTTCCTAGCGTTGCCCTTTGGTGTCAGAGCGTGACAACAGACCTCTCTCCTGCCCTCTCACAACACTTCACAGAGTTACCTGTGTGTGACATGTAGTGCTTTCCCACAGACTCAGCTCTCTCCGTCCCCAGTGCAACAGTTTTCAGGAGGAAAAAATTAAATTTTGTACAAACTTTTATTCCCTGAAAGAACCCAACTTATTTCAAGAACTTGGGAAATAAAACATTAATAAACACTGAACTCACTAGTAATAAACTTCACTTACATACAAGTAGGAGCTGTATTCTTATATACATATTATATATAGTTGGCTGTACATTCCATAGGTTCCACATTCAAAGATTCAACTAACCTTAGATCAAAAATATTTGAGAAGCTGGGGGTATAGCTCAGTGGTAGAGCCTAGTACACATGTGGCCCTAAGTTCAATGCCCACCACTCAAAACAAAATGAAAAACTAAAGAAAAGGTGTCTGTTCTGAACATGTACTGATCTTTTATTTGTAATTACTCCCAAAATAGTACAATATAACTGCTATTTATGTGGCAGTTACATTGTAGTGTTTATTGATGTCATCTGGAGATGATTTTCATGACTTTATGTTTTTTTGTATTTTTTTGGTACCGGGGATTGAACTCAGGACCTTGCACTTGCCAGGCAGGTGCTTACGCCACTGAGCTATATCCCTGGCATCTAGAGATGATTTTAAGTATACAGGAGGGTGTGTATAGGTCCTATGTAAATACTGTACCATTTGATGTAAGCACCTTGAGCATCCATTGGTTTGGGTATCTTGGAGGGTCCTGGAACATATCCCCATGGATACCAAGAGATGACCATGTGTATTTAGACTCGTCTTTTAATTAAAGAACTTTACATGCGAGGACATGTCTAGCTGTGTATGTTCCATTCCCAAGAACATTTGCCCAAGGGTCGCTGGTTCCTGGCAAGAGAAGGTCAGAGCAGCCCCAGATGTCACAGGGTCGGGGTCAGACCGTCAACTCTTACCCACCACCCCCTGCCACACTGCAGAGACACGGTGGAGTGCCTGAGGGTCTTTGTAGTGCGCAGGCAGGGGCGGGGTGCTTGGCTAAACCTGACAGGGCCCCACAGTTCCTTGTGGTGACTTGCAGGGCGCTCAGCAGCCTCACTGGAGACAGGCAGCAGGAAGCCAGCCGTGCCTGTCTTGTGTGTACTGTACTGCAGCTGCCCAACAGTTCCTCCAGACCCCAACAGATGTGCCTGATGTACGTGACACTCACTCCTTCCTGCTGTTGGATTCATCATCCAGCCTGCCCGCCCTGTGTGGCTGGCTCAGAGAGGCTAATGCCGCAACTCATTGCTCAAATCCACTTGCTCTTCCACACCTGCAAGATGTGGCACTGGGATTTCCACTGTTACACTGGCAGTTTTAACTTCCTACAACGTGCAGAACATTTTCTCGTCCCAGTCAGGGTTAGGGTGTTAGCACTGAACTTTAAATAGCCCCTTTGGGAGCTACTTAGAATATTTTCACCTGTCTGGAATAAGACAACAATTTGATGGGTCACAAGAGTCATTCAGTAGTTCAGTAAAACATGGGGGGCAGTTGGAACTTTTACTTATAAGCTGATTAGTGCTCAAGTTGAGACGTGCTTTCTCCACTTTAGAAGATGTGGGCCAACACCAGGAAGAATTTGGAGGCTGGTGTAAGAGACCTGGGTGGGAGGCGCACGCACACGCACACTGACAGCTCAGCGGAGCCGGCTGCAGTTGGGACTCACAACTCCTGAGCCAGTCAGACTTGAATTTGCTTTTTGGGGCATTTTGACAGTTGAATTTGAGCTGAGATTTGGGGTGTTCCAAGTTTACCTCAGAACTGTTAAGAGCTCCAGGCATGGTGTTGCACACCTATAAACATAGCAGCATTTTGGTGTCTTCTTGTTGTTGGAAGGGACAGGCCGGAAAGGTTAGATTTGCCGATCTGAAGTTCCTGGTGGCTTGAGTGTGTGCCCTTCTTTGGATTACCCTGTTTCCCAGGTGCACGGCAGACTGAGGGCAGGTGTGTTAATCGGCTGGCGGAATGCCTCACCGCGGGCTTTCAGGATGACGGTCCCCATAAGGAGCTGATCGCTAAAATCCAGCAGGGTAAACTGATGCCAATTCGAGAAGAGGCCAAGAGAAATGGGAAGATGAAGAGTGTGAGATGGGAACGCGCAGATTTCCTTATAGGAAGTCTAGAGGACAGTGTACAAAAACAAGAGGGACCTGCAGACAGTGAGGGCTAAGACTGGTCTAGGAGGCGAGGTGTTTCCGTGCAGGTCGGGTGGGAGCTGGGGCGGGAACAGAGCTCCTGGTGACATCAAGCTCAGGTTGCAGCGCGCAGAGCAGGATAGGGAAGGGGCTGGGACATCCGCTTTTGCGCCTCCTTTTACCATCTCTGCTCAGAGCAGCCCCTGGGTCGGCCCCCTGGAACTCAAGTCAACATGGGAGGGCCAAGGACACTACTGGCATGCTGCATGCAGCTGCAGAACACCTTGCTTTTCATGGCAATCCCTGTGGCAGACAGAAAGCACCCCCAATTAGAAGGCAGCAAGTGCTCAGCACTGTACCCATTCGATGGGATAGCTTAGGTACCCTTGACTGTTGCATGAGTTTTTTGTAAGAAAGTCCATGCTGCTTGTGGTCTGTTTGCTGTTCAGATACTGCAAGTCAGCAAAGGGTAGCAGACCGCTCCAAGCTCTCCCTCCCCTGCTGTGAATGTGCATACGTGTGCTGAGCCATGTCTGAGTGAGGATTAAGTGACACTCCTCTGACTCACAACTTCTGAGCCAGTCAGACTTGAATTTGCTTTTTGGGGCATTTTGACAGTTGAATTTGAGCTGAGATTTGGGGTGTTCCAAGTTTACCTCAGAACTGTTAAGAGCTCCAGGCATGGTGTTGCACACCTATAAACATAGCAACTGGAGAGGCTGAGACAAGAGGATTGCACGTTCATGGCCAGCTTAGGCAAACTGTCAAGGCCCTTTCTCAAACTAAAGAATTCTAAGAGAGCTGGTGAGGTAGCTCAGTGTTAGTGTGCTGCTGGGTTTGATCCCCTACTACAAAAACAATGACAACCAACCTTATAGAGCAACTTTAATGTCAAAAACAATAGAACTGGAAATAGTTTTACAGTCAGACTAAAGACCAGTACACATTTTAAGTTCAGGAGAGCTGCAGGCCCTGCAGAGCTTCCTGCAAGTGAGGCCAGGGCTGGGTTCCACCTGTGACCAGAAGCAGCTGACACTTGAGCCTGGACTACAACAGAGTGAATGAGCTTCCGGGTGGGGGTTGCCCCCAGCATTCCCCGTGGGTGCTCTGTCTCCATGTTCTCTGGATTCACACAACACATTGGAAGTGGGCAAGGCCTTTTCTGCTTGACTCATTCTTTGGTTAGGAATGTTAAATCCACAGTTAGATAAAGCAGATCAAATCCATCTGTGCCTTTCTCGGGGTCGGACCCAGATTGGGGTGTGGCTGGGTAAGATGGGCAGTGGGCCCCGAGGGAGCAGGGCTCGAGTTTCCACGGGGTGGTGGAGTCTTGATGCTGATGTGAAGGAGCAGAGCACGCTGTTGCACGCACTCATCATTGCTTCGGGAATTACGCACTGGATGATGGCGTTGGGCCAGCTTTGTGAAGGCTAAATCCCTGTTGGTCATTGTGTCCTTTGTTTTAAAATTTAAGTATTTGTTTTAAATCAGCCAATAATGATTATGTATATTTATGGTGTACACTATTTGGGGATGATGATGTCAAGCTGACTTGCATACCCATCACATCACACACATCTTTTTGGAATGAGAACATTTAAAATCTATTCTTTTAGCAGTTCTGATACACATTATTATTAACCATGGTCACTGTGCTATACAGTAGGTCTTGAAAATGTACTTTTCCTGTCTAACTGAAACTTCATGCCCTTTGACCATGTCTGTCTGTTATGGCTGTGTCTAGATGTCCCCCCACTTAAATCCTCAGGTGGTCATAGTTGGGGCTTTTTGAGAGGTGTCTGGATCTAGAGTGTGTGACATTGGGATTAATTCATGGTGCAATACTAGGATAAGGGGACTAGGATTAAGGGTGTGAATGCTGCCTACCCTAAGTAGCCTGGATAAGATATAAGGGATAGAAAGAGCTGCAGTCATCTCTTGCTTGCTTTGCTACCTTCTGCTTGCCATGAACTTCTTCTCCTTTTCCATTCCATCCTGCCTTGGAGCCAGCCAACTAGGGACTGAAACCTCCACAAACTGTGAGCTAAATAAACCTCCCCTCTAACTTTGGGTGTCAGGTATTTTGTCTCAGCAATGAAAGAGAAGTAACTAAGACAGAATTTGGTACCAAAAGTGGGGTCATTGCTGTGACTATACCTGACCATGTGGTTCAGAAGACTTTGGGAATGGCTTGTGGGAAAGGTTTGAAAGGTTCAGAGATACCAGCTGAAAAAGTAGAGCTGGAATGCCTTAGGCTGTTCTGTATGGGAGCTCAGAAAACCAGAAGGCTGATAGAAATCCTGCTGGTAAAGACCAAGCTTGGGAGGTTTCTGCTAGGAAGAAGGACAGCACTGGCTGCTGGACTCCAGACAATGTGTGTTATGCCTTGACAGAAAATTTGTCTGCATTTTGTTCATATCCAGAGACTTTGCCTGAGATTAAGATTCAGAGCAGTGGACTAATTAATCTTGCAAAAGAAATTTCAAGACAGTCTAATGTTGAGGTGATGGCATGCCTACTGTTAGGGGCTTTAGAATCAAGAGCAAAGAGCCTAGCAGGATGATTCAAAATATGAGTTTGGCCAGAAAGGAAGCTCCTGAATCTTTGCAGCATGCAA